GTTACGCTCGCGTCTAATTCCGCGTCATTCCAGGTACCAGCGAGCTAGTCGAGCTGTCGACGAGAGGAGACTGTTTCCCTGACAAGGCGCTGTCGCTTGTCAAACGGTCTCCATGTTAAATTTGGAGACGAGCTGTCGTACCGTTTGGACGTGCTCCGATCCCTTTCCTTATACGATACTTTTCTTATATACTTTGTGACGTGACGTCCTTTTGACGATCCGTTACAAAAGGGAGCCGACCGCGGACGACAGCTCGAGTCTTGTGTCCTCCTAGCTTTCGGAGGCGGGCGCGCGGCACGAGTCGCGGGACCACGCGATTGCGTGGCCCCCGCGATCTGAATACCGAGCACCGTATTACGCTCTTTTTTAGTTTCCGTGGCAATCTCGATTATTTAAAATACCGTGTCAGTGGCTCCCGAAATATTTGTAGGATAATTTCGTCTCACCACCACTCCTGCAAGAAGATTCCAGAGGAGGGACAGAACGAGCTGGACGAAGGGGGACCGTCTCGAGGAGGAAGCCGCTCAGGTTGTATTATCCCGTTTGCGTGTTCTATCTCTTGTTCCGGAGCGCGTTATTCTGCCAAGCTCCATTCCAGGTTTTTGCGCGGGAAAAACCAGGCGAGATCAAGGGCGGCGTTCAAGGACGAACGAGAGACCCCGTATGCGGAGTCGCGACAGGCATCTCGGAGCAGAGCAACACCAGGGAGAGGCCATCCAGACGAGAGCGAGATTCCCGTAGGATCGGCCCCCTGAGCGAGCGTAATTGGGGAGAAGCCTCGCGCACTGCCGCCAAGAAAAACCGCTAATTGTTCGAATCCCGCGCGCGCGGGGACAAAGGACCCGCCGCGCCACGCGCCTCACGCGATTTGCGGAGAGCCGCGAGACATCACCCGCCAATTAGGGCGCAAGAGCATTCATCACGTGGGCCCACCAGCTCGACGTGATCCCGGAAGCAAGGCTGTCCGGCACTTGTGCTGCGACGAAGTTAGGGAGAGGACGCAGGACGATTGAGTGAGCGCTACCGATCTCGAGCGACGACTCTATCGAAGAAAGGAGCGAGAGCTGCCGTGCCGTACAAGAAGAGATTCCCGGTGAGACGAACGTCATCGATTGTAAAGCCACCGATTTTGTATGTCGGACGGGTCGCCCTGAATTCCGCGTTATAGATTTTCATTCTCGTTTGTGCCTCGGCTACAGCCGGTAGAGTACTTAGTTCTATCGCCCCGTCCGGCATCGCGTTTCGAGATTTCTTTGTTGTAGGACCGTCGTGTTCCGCGCCCGCCGGAAGTCGCAGTCAAGCCACCGTATATTATATGTTGTTTCCGTGTAGTGTTTAGTATTGCGATTCGCACCCTTGCATGCGCCGGCCGATCTTGTAACAAACGTTTCGGAGGATTCCCGCGGCCGCAGAGTCGGCATTATCGTAATTACCGGAGGCATTATTCGCGCCGCGAGCACGTGCACGCCCGAGTCCGCGGGCGTACGGCGCATGCGCGTCGGCGAATGCCGCGAGTCTAGCGTGAAGCACTTCCGATTCTGCTTATCCTCGCGTACTCGTATGCGAAATCATACTTCGAACAAGCTCGTTGTATCGAGGAGAATAATCGAGTTTGTATTTCCGCTATCGTTGTGTATAAGAGACTCGTATCGTTGTGTAACATCTTGCGAATCGACGACCTGCGGATCTCTCTTTGAGATCGAAGAGGCTAACTACGCTGTAACACGACTAAATATACTTGTTAAATTCTGAGTCTTTCTTGCAAGATCTCTCGCTCCCCTACCTAGTACTGCTTTCCCTCGAGCCACCCCCTCTACCCTTGTCGTAGCTGAGCTGTCGGCTCTCGCCGTCCTCGTCCGAAAAGTAGAGTCTCGTGATTAATTCAACTATTTTCCGTGATAATTTAGCATTGAGTCAACGTATTCTCGACCATCGGATATTGCGATCAGAGCGGCACTTTCTATAACGTGCCTGGCGCCCAGTTCTCGCCGCCCCGTGGCGACGAGGTCCCGAGTACTCATTCGTCGACGCGTAAATCTACTCACGCGATTAAATCAGATTTGAGCTTTGCGGACAAGCGACGAAGTTGTCCCGTCCTCGTGAGGACGTGGTCACAACTTATACGGTCTTTTTAAATCAGAGCTGCGACATAATAATGGTCAGGAGTTGGTTTTTTCACTCAAAATCTGGTCAGCGATGGTAATTGTAAGCTTCCTCACACCAACATTGGACTTATAAATAAACTTGGACCATTATGTAAATATTATATTCGTATTTCACATTGAGAAGAATCCAAATCTATGGATCGAAACGTATAATTGTTTGTATTATATTAATAAAGATTATCGTTACGCACTAACATCTGCGTCGGGCTCTTATTGGCATACATTTCTTATTATTTGATTAATTATTTTACAGAACCTTTAAAAATAAACCTTTTATACTTATATACGATACATTGTGTTTGGTGTTACAATAAAGAGAGTGTTCCTTATCTTAAATTGGTGTCCCCTTTATTCCTCCGAGATCCAGTGCGCGTGCGCATACGCAGAAACGCGAGCTATACACGAGTGAGTGCGCGAGCGCGAGTTCGATCGCCCCGGGCGTAACAATATATAAAGCTCGTCGAATCTGAACGCGCCACGAGATATGCCCGCCCGCCGCGGACCGCAGTCGCCTAACGTCCAGCGCATGGTGGGGGTTTATTTACAATTAGATATGTCACTACGCGATCGCCTATCGCGCGACGTAGGGAGGGAGTAATCCATTGCCGCGCGCTAGACAATCAATTACTCCCACCACGCGCCGCCCACTAGGTGCGCGTGGGAGGTAACCGCGATCCGCGGCGGGTGGGCGTATCTCGCCGCGCGTTCAGATTCGACGAGCTTTATATCAAGCGACGCGGTAGCGGCGCGACGCCAAGTACATAAAAAAAAGTGATGACCGCGTGACTGTGTGATTTGTGTTACTTCATTGCGCAAATGTCGTAACGCTACCATAGCTTTATCTGAAATTCTTATGTCAAACATATTTTAAATTTAAATATTTTAGAAATTATAACAGCAATACAAAATCTAACAACATTTTTTGATATAATGTCGATACAAACTTTCGATTGCGACCATTGCGAATAAAATTGGTGCAGTCAATATTGAGATCTTGAAATCGAGTTCGTGAAAAGTGTCACTTTATTCAAAAGTGACATTCTTCAGTCACACGTATACACATATACACGCAAAGCGGTTTGTACCTAAAGGCGAATTTTCACAAAATTTTCTTGTCAAAATTAATAATCGATTTCGATATACAATCGATCGTTGTTGTTCAGCTGCAAGAGCAGCACCATAAAATTAATAAATACGGTTAATTAAGATTACATAAAAATCAGCTAAAAGAGCAATAAATAATTATATAATAATTGCTCAATGTTATATAAAATAATTAATCATTAATAATAACAAATAATGAATGTTAATAATTATTATTAATGTGGAAAATTATTTAAAAAATGTTGTAATATAAAACGAAATAAATAAATTTGTGTATTTTTCTCTCTTTTTTTTCTTTTGTACTGCATAAATAATAAATTAATTTAAAAATAAATAAAATAAATAAATTTATTTATCTATTTATTAATAATGTACGAAAATTATGCAAGAATTGTAACACTGCTTTACTTGAAAAGACTAATGTAACAATGACCAAACGTATACTCATTTTTCAATTGTTATTATTTAAGTATTTTAAGTTAATAATAAAAAAGTTACAAAGATTACAAATCTTAATATTAAATCCATATCTACATAAAAAATATAAACTTATTCGTGAAAATATTTATAAAGTTAACAGTGCAATTTTTCATCATGAAAACATAAATAATGGACATAACACAAATACATATATTGCAAACTAAAGGTACAAAATAGATATCCGTAAATAATTTAAAAGTTGAGACATGTCAATTACCTCGAAATGCTAATAGTGTATACATATTTTTCTACGAACAAATAAATGAATAAAAAAATTAAATCAATAAACTATTAAAATTGGAAGAAAGTATATTAAATTAAAGTAACAATTTTATAAATAATAATATGTTAATTTTTAGAAGATTTAAATTCTATTATAATTTAATAAAAAGCAGTGAGATTCCATAAAAAATCTTTTTAAAAAAAGAAAAAATATACGCCAAATATATAAAAAACGTCATTTACATTCTTTCTAAAACTAAGAACAATTTTTTTTAAATTTAAATATACAATTATTTAAAAATTGATTAATCAAAACGAGTCGTGAAATAAATAAAATTATGGCCAAGATATTAAACTAACCTCATTATTCAAAAAAAGACCTCAAAAAAGCTTATTTGTGAAAAATATTCGAAAATTTAAAAAAATGGAAAAATGATAAACTGTATTATAATGAAGAAAAAACTTAGCGTGCCTGGGTCATTTTAAAATGCAATATTCCATATGTTTTATAATATATAAATTATTTGCAGATATACACAAACATGGAATTAATAGTCTGACGAAGTACTTGGGTCGCATGAAAACGCAATGTTCTACAGCCAATGATTTATAGTATATGAAAAATTTGTAATAAAATGTACAAATAAATATACATATGTAAAAACATTATTACGTACAATAGTTGCGGTTATACACAAACATGAATGCAATAATTAGATAAAAAAGCATATATATATATATAT